GCCCTGAGTTTTGTCACACATCCTATATAATAAAAGCCTAATATGCTAAGTGTCCAGTTGTCTGTCAACCAATCAAAGTGTAATATGCTAATGATATGCTAAAGTCACTCAACCACTCACTGTAACGTGCACTAACCACTAGAGGGGAGATGCTCCGACTGGTAGGTTAGCTTGCTGCTGGGGTCCAGCTGACCTGGGACTGAGCGAGATGGGCCGGACACGCCCTGGAGCCTCCTGCGGTCCCTCCCTGGCTGGCCAACCTCCTGCGTCCCTCCCCAGCCCCCATCGTGCACCAGTGGGGTCCTTCGACCTGGCCTGTGCCCTCTCGCAATCCGGGACCACTCAGGGGATGTCGGAGAAATGGTTTTGGCCGATCCCACAGGCCAGGTCAAGGGACCCCACTGGTACATGAATTCATGCACCGGGCCTCTAGTCTAGAATAATAAAAGCATAATATGCTAATTAGTCCTTCTGGAGCTGCGAGGGAAGCCCGGGTCCTGGCTGCCAGAGGGAAGCCGGTGCCAGCAGCCGGGGGAAGGAAGGCCTACTCTGGCACAAATTTCGTGCATAGGGCCTCTAGTACTAACATAATCGGACATTGTTCCCCATCAGAGAAGTTAAACCTACTTCATCTTTTTACAAGGCAACATAGTATCCTACTCTGGGAACAGTACAATTTTTCATTAAACCAGCCTGAGGAACTATAAAAAGATACAAATGCCACAGAAAGAGAAAGAGAAATTAGTAGACTAAGCTCTGGAGACTTCTAGGCTAGGTTACCTCTGGATGAGGACAGCTGGCTGAGCGTTTCTGAAGGGCTTTTTCAGGCGGGAGGCTAAATCTGCTGTGCGGTTGAGGGCTAAATTTTAATTTCCAGCTCCCACAGAGAATATGTTAATTTTGTTTATTTAAGAGTGTTTACATCTACTTAAAAATAACCCTCCCTTTGAGGATTGATGAGGCAAAGGACATAAGAGAACTTTCTGGGATGATGGGGAAGGCTTTACCAGGGGGCTGCAAAGTTTTTCTGTTGAGGGCCAGATATTCAAGATGTTAACTTTTGTGGTTCACATATCACCTCTGTTGTACATTCTTTTTATTTTTCATACACTTAAAACAGTTAAGATAATAAATTTTGTGTGTGTGTGTGTTTTTTTTAACCACAAAAAATAATACATAATAATAATACTGATAAGCCCTCCTTGGGCATGAGAGGCTTCTGGGGTGCTGGTAATATTTTTCCTGAACTGGGTGCTGGTTACTTGGGTGTGAAAACTCCCAGAGCCTCATAAGTGTAGGATCTGAACGCTTTTATGTATGAATTTTGTTTCAATAAAAAGTTCAGCCCTGTCTGGTGTGGCTCCATTAGTTGGGTGTCATCCTGTGTCCTGAAAGGTGGCTGGTTCAATTCCTGGTCAGGGCACATGCCCAGGTTGCAGGCTTGATCCCCAGTAAGGGGTGTGCAGGAGGCAACCAATCAATGATTCTCTCTCATTGATGTTTCTCTCTCTTTCTCTCCTTTCCTCTCTCTGAAATCAATAAAAACATATTTTTTTAAAAAAAGAAAAAAAATGATTGAGGAAGCTTTCCAGGCACTGACATGAGAGATCATCTCGAACATATATTAAGAAAAAACAACAACAAAAAGCAACATGTAAAACAAACACCTTTCATTCAACAAATACTTGTTCAGCATCTACTAAGTGCCAGGCACTGTCCATACACCTTCAAACCAAACAGACATGCATTCCTGCCTCATGCAGCTGGAACTCAAACCATGAAATAAAGAATATGCGTAATTTTACATGTTCTAAGGTCTACACTCCATTTGGAAGACAACACAAGTTGCTGTAACACTAATGCACTCCCAGACAGTGGTATGGGGCTGGGAAAGGAAACAAGGAGACTTTTCATAATCTACACTAATAAAAGATGCAAATTGACTGTACCTCCATGATGCCCACTAGCCAATCAGGAGTGAGTATGCAAATTAGTCCAACAAAGATGGTGGCAACCCCACCCCCCAGCTGCTCAGGGCCTCTGGGCAGCACGCACACACGCACGCACGCACGCACGCATGCAGAGCAGCCGGGCAGGGTGGGACGCCTGCTATGAGGGGGAGGGCGGGGGCAGAGGATGCTACAGGAGCGGCGCTCCAGATGGAGCAAAGACTGAAAGCTCCAGTCACAGCAAAGACTCTGGTGGGAGTGAAGACGGAAGGCAGCGGCCAGAGCAAAGGCCTGAGCCCCGGGGCCCAGAGGAAAACCAGTGCCGGCAGCCAGAGGAAGGAAGGCCTATTGCGCGAATCTTCGTGCAATGGGCCTCTAGTAAAGCTATAAAAGTCTTTTGTATCATTTGTATTTTGAAGCATGTGACTATACTAATATATGTTCTCTTTTGTAAAAAGTTGCAGTTAAGAAGTAAATACCCTCTCCCAACAGTGTTTCGTTTTGTTTCCAGATCAGGTGCTAGGACCCCACTGCTGGTTGAGTTGGACTCTAGGAAATTGGACTATGAAATCTGTTCGTTTGTTCTTTTTTTTAACAAGCACCATTCCTTTTTCCCACCCCTACACCATCAGGTTCTAGAATCTTATTCCATGCTGCTCATGCTAAGGGTGGGCCCGTAAGGATGGCTGTGCCCATTGCCGACATCGGTCGAGGCCTGGGAGTCATTTCCTTCTTGGAGCCACTGCCTTCCTCTAGACATCGTGTCTGCTGAGAAGGGAACTTCCTGCCCTGTCAGGTCAGCCCAAGTTTATGTCCTGACAGAGTGGGCTGCTTCTCTATCAGCTCATGGAAAATCCATGTCCCCAGTATCACCAGCCCCAGAAGTATCCTGAGTACGTGGAGCTTGCTGGGAATTGGGCAAAATGGTTCCCACCATGCCCAGCCCCAAGGGCACCAACTTGCTCAGGGCCACACAGCTTGCGTTAGAGTCTGGATTTGAGCCTTTGTCTGTCTGAGGTCACCCTCTAAATTCACAGAAAGCACCGGGGTACAAGGGGAGGATATGTGAGCCACTCTTGTACACTGTCCCCAAAGGAAAGGTCCCCACTGTCTGGCAGGGTCTTCACAGGGCAGCCGGAGGGCCCCAGGTTTTTGGTTCTGATGAGAAAAGACTTTTCACAAGCTAAGTGAGACCCTTCCCCACTTGGAGGGCTCAAGCCATGTGGCCCCCCTGGAGGAGGTGAGGGCCTGGCTGCAAGATCCAGCTGACGCCTCCACCTCTGAGCCTCAGAGAGAGAAATAATGAAGCAACTGTGAGGCTTGTTTACTGTTCACTCTGCCTGAAACACGCTTCTTCCCATTTTCCCCACAGCCACTGGCTCCAGCTCCAGCCCTTGGTCACCTAAAATAAACCCAGATGATTTCCCCTACATTCACCGTATCCTGTCCTTCGCTTCACAGCACTTACAACAACCTAGAATTACATCCTTATTCCCTTGTCCACTCCCTGCGGTCAAGGATTCTGCTCTGTTCGCTGTTGTATACTCAGTGTCCAGACGCCACCTTATAAGATGCTCAATAAATGTTTGTAGATAGAATGTGCTCCCCGCGCCCAGCATAAGGTCTGCTGGGCACAGAGGTCCCTTGTCTCGGTTGTGAGCCTGGCAGGGCTGGGAGGGTTTGCTCAGGCCCATCCATGGCTACCTCCCTTTGGGCAGATTCAAGGCCGGGTGAATAACATCATTGTCCATTCTGTCCCCCATCCCGACTCCAGTCTGGCCTCATGGAGCCCAAAGATTTCTCAAGTGCCGCCCACGGGCAGGCCGGGCCAGGCCTGGAGCCCAGACTAAAATTTGAAGATCAGAGACAGCTGGCCACAGCCCAGGGATGCACAGCATGGGCAGCTGCAGGAGCTGGGGCTTGAGCCAAAACCAAGAACAAGGGAGAACCTTAAGAGACTGGCAAGTTCAAGCAAGGAGGGGAGTGGCTGAGTGGTAGCCAGGTCCCCTGCCTCCCTCTTGCGTGGGCTGGGAAGGGAGGGTCCCAGCCTCCCCCAAATGTGTCTCCTGAGGCCACAGTCTCTAGGGGGTGGGACTTGGGGGAGGGGAGGGAGAGAGGCACAGCTCTGCCACATTTGTTTTTCATTTTTGAGTGGTTTCCGGCCCCTTCCCCAAGGCCATTCAGTCTTACAGTTTCCAGGAAGTTTCTGTCACACTAGGAGGGGTGGCAGGGCCTCTCAGCCCCAAGGCACTGCCTTGTGGGGCGTGTGACCACATCGGCCCTGGGGACCCAAAAGGGAGAAGAGAAAGGAGAAACTGAGGACTGTTCCTCCCAGTCCCGCCGTGGGAACCAGAGGAAGAGAAGCGCAATAGGGCGTGGTTGGGGAGGGGCCTCATCTTGGCTCCAGTCCCTGCGCCCTGAGGTGCAGGCCGCCTTCAGAGGTTCTGGGGAGGGGGCACCCCCAACCCTTTGCACAGGGCAGGGAACGTTAGCCAATGGTTTCCGGCTTCCTACCTGCCCCCGCACCGGAGGCGCCCCGGTTTCCGCCCTTCCCAGGCGGCGGGCGAGACACGATGGGCTCCCACCCTTGCATTCGGTCTGCCGAGTCTTGCCTCAGTTTCCCCATCGAGCCAAAAGCCCGTGCCGGCGACCTCCAGAGGGATGTGGGCAGGAGTCAGAAGTGGACAAAGGGGACTGGAAGAGGAGGGGGTTTGGGGAGATTGGGGCCCTGTCCCTTTTCGAAGCCCAGGTCGCCGCGCCTCCCCTCCCCCGCCGGGCATCTGAGCCACCCAGATAACGGGACCTCCCCGGGCGGAGCATGCGCGCGCGTCCCGGCCCGTCGGCCCGAGGGAGAGCAAGGGTTCCCCGGAGGGTCCGCAGGGCGCCAGGGCGGGGAGAGGGGGAGTGGGCACGGCGCAGGGAGGGATGGAGGCCCTGGGAGCAGGATGAGGCCGCGGCTGCAGCGCGGGCGTTTAAGATCTCAGACGTGCCCCTCCTCCAAGGGCCCCCCCAACTCGGCAAAGGCGGCCACGGGTCAGAGGCGGCTCCTACCGTAGGCTCCGTCCTTCCGCTCGTCCTCCATGGCCACGGCGGGCTGGGAGGGGAGTCCGAGCCAGCGCGACCCCAGCCCGAGCGGGCGGGAGGCTCTGCGGGCTCAGCGCCCCGCCCCGGGTCGGGCTCCGCCCAGCCCGCCCGGCGCTCCGCGTGCCTCTCCAATGCGAGCCCTGCGCGGGCGGAGGCAGTGGCGGGGCCGGAGCCGGGCCGGCTCGGGAAGGGGTGTACCTCAACCTTTGTTTCTTTTCTGGACCGTGAGACCTTCTTGGTGTGTTTCCTGTAAAAGGAGCAGTCGTCATTCATTCATTCATTCATTCACCCACCCACCCGTCCGTCCGTCCGTCCGTCCGTCCATCCACCCAAGCACCCACCCATTCATTCGTCAAATAGATATTGAGCACTCGCTGTCTGTGTGCCAGTGAACAGACAAAATGATGCCACTTTTCATTCTTCAGATTGGCAAGATTTGAGTTTGGTAACATCAAGCCAGGTGAACAGATGCTGTAGAAGGATTAAATCCAAACCGTGTTCACCCCGTGGGATTCCTCTCTGCCGTGGCAGACGTGTGTGCATGGGGAGTCCATGCCAAACAAAGGGTGTTACTGAAAGGTTCGGAGTGGGCCGGGTTCAGGCACCTATGATATGAGGCCATAATGTATCAAAAGAACTTTTATTCCAGGCACCTGGGTGCAGGTGGCCTGAGTCCGAAAAAGGAATCAGTGGTGACTGAAGGGGGAGGCAGACTTTTTAATTTTATTTTTATTTTTTTTTAATTTTATATTTATTGATTTCAGAGAGGAAGGGAGAGGGAGGGAGAGATAGAAACATCAATGATGAGAGAGAATCATTGATCGGCTGCCTCCTGTACATCGCCTACTGGGGATCAAGCCCACAACCCAGGCATGTGCCCTTGGCCGGAATCGAACCTGGGACCCTTCAGTCCGCAGGCCGACGCTCTATCCACTGAGCCAAACCAGCTAGGGCAGAGACTTTTATTAACCTCTGCTGGCTGCAAACAGTTCTGCTGACGTAAGGGTTGGTCCGTTCTTGGTTCCTCCATGCCAGATGTCCAGTGGTTATCTAGGCTATGCAGTGTTCAAGGCTGCAAGCTTTCCACAAGATATCTGCTAAGCACAATAAGTTTTCTCTGCCCCGTTTTATTATCTTGAACCCTTCCAGTTACCTGCAGCTTTGATAGTTACTGTTAAAAAACGGGGAGACATATGTCTATCAACGGAGGACTGCATGCACCAGGATGGTAAGGTCTCAGGAGGGAACAGCATGAGCAGACAGGAAGAATGAAAGACATCAGGGAAATGAGAAAAAAATATTTTAGAGTATAATAGAAGTAATCCTGTTATTTGCAGATTTTTAAATATTTCCTACAATTTTTGTGATATTATACTATGTTAGTACAGTTTTGGTAATATATTTAAAATGTTTTTTTCTTGAAATATTAATGCTTATTGCATGTAATATTATTATATTTACAATCATTTTTCTTGAAATATTAATGCTTATTGCATGTAACATTATTACATTTAAAATAGTTTTCTTGAAATATTAATGTTTATTGCATGTAACATTATTGTACTTAAAATTGTTTTTCTTGAAATATTAATGATTATTGCATGTAACATTATAAAAAATAAATTTAAAAAATAACATAAATGGTGCCAGGTGGGTACTGGAAATATCGAGAACACTTTGTAAAGCACATGATTGTCTAACCATAAGCTGTATACGTGAAACTAATGCAAAATAATATTGAATGTAAACTGTAATTAAAAATAAAAAAATTTTAAAAAATAAAAGATTTACTAAATTTAAAAGAAAAAGACATCAGGGAAATGAAAGTTAAAACAATGAAATACCACTACACTTTCACCAGCACAGCTAAAACCAAAAAGACAGACAGGAACAAGTTTTGGTGAGCAAATGGGACTCTCCTCCGCTGCTGGTGGGAATGTAAGATGACACAGCCACTTGGAAAAAAAGGCCTGGCAGCTTCCTTTATAAGAAATGGGTACCCACCGTGTGACCCAGCCATTGTACTCCTAGGTATTTACCCAAGAAAAATAACACTGACTGAAAAAGAAAAAAAAAACAAAGACATGTAGACAAATGTTCATAGCAGCTTTATTCATAATGGCTGAAAACTGAAAGCAACCTAAGTGTCTATAAATGGATGAGTGGTTCAACAAACGGTGGTCCATCCATATAAGGTGATACGCTTTGGCAAGAAAAAGAAATGAACTGCCGAACCGGTTTGGCTCAGTGGATAGAGCGTCGGCCTGCGGACTGAAGGGTCCCGGGTTCGATTCCGGTCAAGGGCATGTACCTTGGTTGCGGGCACATCCCCAGTGGGGGGCATGCAGGAGGCAGCTGATCGATCTCTCTCATCGATGTTTCTAACTCTCTGTCCCTCTCCCTTCTTCTCTGTGAAAAAATCAATAAAATATTAAAAGAAAAAGAAATGAACTATTGGTAAGTGCAACAGTATGAATAAATATATTTTTAAAAACATCCTGCCAGCCCTGGCTGGGTAGCTCAGTAGATTAGAGCATCCTCCCAATATGCCAAGGTTGTGGGCCGGCCCGGGCACATACAAGAATCAACCAATGACCCTGGCTGGCTTGGCTCAGTGGATAGAGCATCGGTCTGCGGACTGAAGGGTCGCGGGTTCCAGTCCAGTCAAGGGAGTGTGCAGGAGGCAGCCGATCAATGATTCTCCCTCATCATTGATGTTTCTATCTCTCTCTCCCTCTCCCTTCCTCTCTGAAATCATTAAAAATATATTTTTAAAAAAGAATCAACCAATGAATGCATAATAAATATAAGAACAAATTGATGTTTCTCTTTCTCTCTCTTCCTTCCTCTCTCTAAAAACCAATAATAGTAATTTTTAAAAATATATATATTTTTTTATTTCAGAAAGGAAGGGAGAGGGAGAGATAGAAACATCAATGATGAGAGGGAATCATTGATCAGCTGCCTACGGCATGCCCTCTACTGGGGATTGAGCCTGCAACCCGGGCATGTGCCCTTGACTGGAATCGAACCCAGAACCCTTCAATCTGCAAGCCAGCTCTATCCACTGAGCCAAACCATCTAGGTCAAGCATGTCAAACTCAAAGGCTAACACAGGCCAAATAAACAAGGTTTAAGTTTATGTGGGCCGCAAAAAAACAAAAGCTTCAATTTTCATAGAAACTTAGGTTTATTTTGATAGAGACATGCTGAATACAAAGGGCTGAAATAAATGAGTCATCGTTAACATAAAATAATAGAACATTTTAATAAAAATTAATATTTTTGCTTGAACATTAACTTACCAGACACTGAATAACTGCACAAATTAATAAGCGTAACGCAAATAAACCTATTTTTCTTGTTCTCCAAACGTGAAATATTTCCTGTTGTGAACACAAAACAAGTCAGTCCAAGACTAATGGCGTGGCGATCGGCTGCTAAAATATTCGCTGCTAGTATTAGTGGAGAGAAATGGTGCGCCTGTGCATACGGTGTAAGGGAAATGAATGCAACACGATTATAGTAATCAGTCATTAGTGAATGTTGTAGTTCATTTTTAACAACTAGAGGCCCGGTGCACAAAAATTTGTGCACTCGGCGGGGGGGGGGGGGGGGGGTCCTCAACCTGGGCTGTGCCCTCTCACAGTCTGGGACCCCTCGGGGAATGACCATCTGCTGGCTGAGGCCTGCTCCCCAGGGATTGGGCCTAAGCTGGCAACCAGACATCCCTCTGGCAGCCCGGCAGTCCTCGAGGGATGTCCACTTGCCAGTGGGGAGCAGACCTAAGCTGCAGTCAGACATCCTTAGTGCTGCTGAGGAGGCAGGAGAGGCTCCCACCACCACTGCTGTACTGGCAGCCGTCAGACTGGCTTGTGGCCGAGCAGAGCTCCTCCATGTGGGAGCTCACTGACCACCAGAGGGCAGCTCCTGCATTGAGCGTCTGTCCCCTGGTGGTCAGTGTGTGTCATAGTGGCCAGTCATTCCCAGTCTTTCTGCTGTTAGGGTCAGTTTGCATATTACCCTTTTACTATATAGGATTGGGGCCTGGTGCATGGGTGGGGGCCGGCTGGTTTGCCCTGAAGGGTGTCCCGGATCAGGGTGGGGGTCCCGCTTGGGTGCCTGGCCAGCCTGGGTGAGGGGCTGATGGCTGTTTTCAGGCTGCCTGCACCCCCTTCAGAGTGGGGGTCCCCACTGGAGTGCCTGGCCAGCCTGGGTGAGGGGCTGATGGCTGTTTTCAGGCTGCCTGCACCCCCTTCAGGGTGGGGGTCCCCACTGGGGTGCCTGGCCTGCCTGGATGAGGGGCTGAGGGCTGTTTTCAGGCTGCCTGCACCCCCTTCAGGGTGGGGGTCCCCACGGGGGTGCCTGGCCAGCCTGGATGAGGGGCCAATGGCTGTTTTCAGGCTGCCTGCACCCCCTTCAGGGTGGGGGTCCACACTGGGTGCCTGGCCAGTCTGGGTGAGGGGCTGAGGGCTGTTTTCAGGCGGGCCAAGCCTGCAACTGAAGCTCCCAGTCTCTCCATTTTTTCTTTTTTTTTTATTCTGGGATTTATTTACCTTCTGTAATTGAAACTTTGTTGTGGCTCCAGCTCTGAGGCCAGCTGGCTGAAAGCAGGCATCTGGGGTTTGTTTAGCTTCTATAATTGCAACATTGTTGCGTAGAGTGCTGCTCAGAGCCCAGCCGAGGCAGGCGGGAAACCTTGGCTTCCTCCATCACTGGAGCAAGCAAGCCTCATGTTCGCTTCAGCTGCCTGGCTGCCGGCTGCCATCTTGGTTAGCAGTTAATTTGCACATCGCCCTGATTAGCCAATGGGAAGCATAGCGGAGGTATGGTTAATTACCATGTTTGTCTATTATTAGATAGGATTATGTATAAATGGATATTGTAAAAATTAAGCTACAAAATTTTTATTAAAACATTTCTTACAGCCCTAACCAGTTTGGCTCAGTGGATAGAGCGTCGGCCTGCGGACTGAAGAGTCCCAGGTTTGATTCCGGCCAAGGCCATGTACCTTGGTTGCGGGCACATCCCCCGTAGGAGGTGTGCAGGAGGCAGCTGATCGATGTTTCTCTCTCATTGATGTTTCTAACTCTCTA